GTGTGTGTGTGTGTGTGTGTGTGTGTGTGTGTGTGTGTGTGTGTGTGCGCGCACTAGTGTTGCTGCGTCTATCCGTTTCGTCACGTCTTTCCATTGTGAATCTGAAAAAAGTATTTAATATTCACACGGGCTGTGTCTGTAGCTATTGAAAATCACGTGTAGATGTGGTGCGCAGAATGAGTTCAAAAACCTTTTGTCAGCACCATACAGAGGTCGCGACAAGTCGTACGCGGGGGGCTCCAACTAGTTTTTCGTTTTCTGACATCGCGGTCGGATATACAGGAAGAATTGTCCATTAGTAATCCGCTCGCCTTTTACCAACGATATGTTTCTGTACGCTCCGATCGCAGCAGCCACTACCGCTCTCGTTCTGTTCGCGGGTGAGTACATTACAAATACGAACATACATACCGTTTTACATATTATAACCCTGTACGGCGATATTAACATATCATCGTACGCTCCTGCCGCATCCCTTACGACTATAGACTACTTTTATCATTATTATTGCTACAAATAACACCTCGGATAAACACAAAACAATGAGTGCATTCGTGTTGTTTTTCCGATGACATTTGCAGCGATGTTGATCATACTTGCGCGTTAAGAGTTTTCGGGGGTTGAATTTTCTTCTTCTTCAACCCTCTTAAACGACCACTCGTGATTATCGGTTACAGGCTTGGTGCTCGGACAGAACAGTGATTTCCAATGTCCGTCGAAACCGGGATTTTATCCGGATCAGATACAATGTGACCTGTACTATCATTGCACTGCGGACGGCGAGCTGACGGAAAAACTATGCCCCGACGGTCTGCTGTTCGACGACTCCAACCCTAGCCACGAGAAGTGCGACACCTCCATAAACGTGGACTGCGGCACGAGAACCGCTCAACAGGAACCGAAAACATCCAAAGGTTGTCCTCGGGCCAACGGCTATTACAGGCATTGGGATGAAGGCGTTTGCGACAAGTTCGTCAACTGCGTCGAGGGCGTTGCCAACGA